TGTTGGCCCGTGGCGGGCGCACCGCCTGTCTGGCTCGGCTTTGTCTGACGGACGCGGTCTGCGAAACGGACGTTGTCGGAGCTCGCGCCCCAGTGGCGGAGGCACCCGGAAGAGACAGGGTTCTCTGCCTCCGGCGCGGAGAATATACGGCCTTAGCCCGCGGCACGGCAGCCGGGAGCGGGCAGGCCGAGCACGTGTCGGCGCGCTGCTCCTCCCCCTTCATCTTTGCCGCGTGACAGGAATCGCCCGGAGACTGCTGCACACGACGAATAGAACACTCGATCCAGGGACCCAAGCAAAATCAACCCGGCGGATAAAGGGACCCACGTGGAAAGTGGTGCAAATACTGGTTATGAAGCCTGATTTCTAGCCCAGACTGCTACCTGTGCTTTCTCTTCCTCACCAGCGGCCTCGCAGTCACACGTTTACCTGTGACAGGATTAGCTGGGTGCCACAGAAAACCCAAACCACTGTGCTTTTTACCTGGTTTGCGCACCAAAGACTGCGGAACGTGGTCATTTGGGGGGTGGGGGTAACGGGGATCGAGCTCAGGTCTTTGTGCTTGCCCGCGGAACCACTGAGCGAAATCCCCGGCCCAGGACATGGTCTTTGATGCACTCATCAGTCAATGAGCAGCGCACCTTCAAGGCAAACGCCCAACTGCCAGTTACCTACAGTTTCCAAAATTACCAATAAACTCAGATCTCGCCCTTATTACAGCCAAGGAGTAGGGTTTTGTTTTTGTCATGGATAGTTATTATTAAAGTTGTCCCTTAGGATCCTCGGGGATACCATTCAAGACCTGTGTGCTTGCCAAAATCTGAGAATGATCCAGTTCTGTGTATGAAGAGGCTCAGTAGTACTTGTGTATAACCTACGCACACCCTGTCATATACATTGAGATCTCTAGATTACAATACCGACTGTACATAGCTGCCAAACTGTATTGCTCAACTGTAATTACAAGAAAAATTTCGTATATATCTAGTACAGATGCAAATTTTTTCCGAATATTTTCATGGGAAGTTAATTCGTTCCCTATATCCACCATCTACAGTTAGAAATGGCAGATACTGTAGATGCATTCATATAAATGGAGAAATCATGACCACTGTGTGAAATTATAGTATTAGTAATATCTCCTTTGGGATTCCTAGATTGCTCTTTTCCCACTACCATTGAATACTGATCTTTGAAGTAATTATTTTCTGTGATAAGAATAATCAAACCAACATAAAAACACATTGAGGATGGCAAAGAGCTGAAATTTAAATCGTGGAAAAAGAGAAAATTCATTGACAACAATTAAGGAATACCATCTGCCTGTTACACAGAATATCAACAGAGAGTGAAAAATGAGTTATTCACAAGAGCTGAATTTTAAGAATTCCAATCAATGGGCTCAGACCAGCAATATCCTAGGAACTTGTAAGAAACGCAGATTCTCAGGCCTGGATCGGAAATTGTGCAACAATCTGTTTTAACAACCCTTCCCAGTGACTGCACACGTCAGTTTGAGAGCCACTGTATTACCTTACAGTCAACAAGAAGGTATGTAGTACCTTAAAGAGATTCTGAAAGAGTTAGAGGTCTTTCATTAAGGTGGGCAGGCCAGAGATGTGGCTATTGGGTTGCTAAGCTTTGTGCTATTATAGAAAAAAAGGTTAGGAAATGAGAAAGAACAGAATGAAGTAGTTCAATAATCCTTAAGATAATAATGATGTACTGCTTCATATGGTGGCCTGTCTGAGGACAGGTTTTTCTGAGTTGTGAGATCATCAAAGTAGCTACTGTGCAACTCAAGTACAACATCCCCAAAGAATTTTCATGTAGGTGATGATTTGAAATCTATAGTGTGTTATCATGTCAGTCCTCCAAGTGCCCTGCCATCACCACTATCAACTGGAATATGTGGCACTGAACTGGCACGTTATTACCAGCACTTGCTTATTTTTCACTCATATTCTCTTAATTGTTCAAACAGCATCTACCTGAGAGCCCAGGTCAGGCTCACTAACCTAGAATTCACTTTTCTTTGAAAAAAAATTTGTTCCTTAAAGATTAATATTTACTGTGGTATAATACCTATTATACACTGAATTATATTGTTTTCTAATTACTTTTAGGTGTATGTATCTACAAAAATTATGACCTATGGTTTTATCTTTTTAGCTAGCCCAGTTCTAGGTATCCTTGACACATAGCCTTGAACAGATCTTTACCTTAAAAAGAAGGAAAAAACTGGATTAGATCAGCTCACATCTTTAGAAATCAATTTCAAACCACACTACCCATTTGTAAATCAACCTAGTAAAGTTCATTTCTAACCTTAAAGTTGATATAGTCCTTTTCATCCAAAGAGATTACCACACATTTTTATGAGGTATATCCAAACATTTTATATATTTCTATTATAATATTTTTCCTACTTTCTTCATTGCTGGGACAAAGTACCTGATACCCACAAATTAAGAAAGGAGAGGTTTATTTTGGCTCACGGTTTGTAGAGGGTTCAAACTGAGGAGATCCAGTGCAGGACCTCCAGGCAACAAAGGATGAGGGAGAAAAACAGCTCATGGAAGGCACAAAACAGGAACCAGTGAGTGCTCTTGAGAGGAACCAGGAGATATACTCTTCCAGGCCACACTCCCAGTGACCCACCTCCTCCACTCTGGCTTCACCTCTCAGCCTGACATTTCCCTATAATCCATCAGTGGAGCAATCTCCTGGCCCCTCCCACCTGATTTGGTCCCAGGGTCCTCCTAGCTCTTCTGCCTCCATGGCCAACAAGGAAGAAGATATGATCAAAGAGGAGAACAAAATATGGGGGAATGGATACACCTTTTCTGTGGTCACACTGTGGTGACACTGCATTCAGCCTTCAGGGCTACCTGATTTTTCCTGGAATCCCCATGAGGAGCCTTGGGTGACTTCTGTGTCAGAAGACAATATCATGTTAGAGTGGTAGATGACTGAGGACATTTATAAGGATGAAGACCCTGAAGGACACGTGGATCTAGAAGGATCCTAGATATATCTGCGCTCGTGATTTTGGACTCCTTTTTTTTTCCCTCTCAACCCTGAGATTGATTCAACACTAGTTTTGAGACATACCAACTTTGTTCAGCTATCCCTCCATAATAGGTGCCACCAATAACACTATTGGTTCCCATAGTGGATGTTTTCTAAATATTAGCTGGTGTACTTGATTCAGCGAAGCTACAGACTTACATTTAAATTTTTTTCAACAATTTTCTACTGAGAAACCCAAGTCTATATTAGCTACAGAGAGGGGAATATAATGTGTGATTATTTTTCTTAAGCATATCCCCAGGTTTTTCAGACTTGTTTCAGTACAGGCTAGAGTGAGTAAGGAACGGAGCCAAATGAGGTAAATATCTGAGCCAGGAAGGGTAGGTACTGTAAGATGTCACTTTTATATAGGAGTTGGGGGAGAATCAATTCATAGATACGTATTCCTGGATTTACACACACACACACACACCCGGGGATCCGCAGCACTTTTGGCTGCACTATCACAGCTTTACACACTGCCCTCTCAGGAGCACACTCCCTGGCCTCTCAGGCCTTCTTCTGACATCTGGGTAAAAGCCTGCTATAGAATCAATTCCCATCCCCTAAGCTGCTGCCATTCTGGAGCACGGTGCTCAGGGGCTCTCTTCTCAAAGCAAATTCTTTCACCTTTGCAATTTTGACCCTGCAAGGGTTAGGCCCTGCTGGTTTCTCACATTCCCTCAAGGCGTTTGTTGTTGTTATTGTGTTTTCCAGATCTAAAGTACTTAGTTTCTTTTCAAAGCAAATCTTTTTAGCACTCAAGCTCCATCTTTACAGGCTTCCACTTTGCTACAGTTTCTTTTTGGATCAAATTTAAAACTTTTCAAATCATTCTACTGTGCTGTTTGTTCTTGATTCTCAACATAAATCTGGCTAAACTGCCCCAATAATACCTATGCCCCAGCCTCAGTAGTAGGCTGCCTTGCAATTTCCTGTTCCAGATTAATTAGTCTACCACCCATAATCTCAGTCTTCTGCAAAATTTCAGGACATGAGCAAAATGCAGACAAATTTGCTGCCAGAGCATAACACACGGCTCATGCCAATGGAGTCTTTCTTCCAAACCGTGAAACCACCTGAAGCTGGTCTTTATTAGCTGCATTTCTGTCAGCATTCTGGTCTGGTGAATTTTGACCAGAATCTCCCATCATGGATAGGTGAATGCCAAGGGCATAGGCACTTCACACAGAGTATCTACTGCACTCATTTGAGAAGGCCGGTTGTGAAGACCTTATTTCTGAAGCCAGATGTGGTGGTCCACACCTGTAATCCCAGCACCCTAGGGGGCTGAGGCAAGAGGATTGAAAGTTCCAGCCCAGCGTGGGCAGCTTAAGTGAGACCCTGTCTCCAAAAAAATTTTTTTAAAGGACTGAGAATGTAGCACATTGTGAAAGCTTTAGGTTTGATCCAGAAAAAAAGGAAGGAGGGAGGGAGGGAAAGAAGGACTCTTTCTGTTAAAAGCAGGTACTTTGGAATGTTGTTATAATTGGGTGTTTACATTTAATTTATTCTATGACCTACTAGTCCATTTACACAAATGCCTAAGAAGTGTATTCAGCATTAATCATGGTGTGGCTAGGATGAGAACTCATTTCTCAGTAACACATTTTCTTTCAGAGCTGTGCTGACCAGAAGGAGTGGTTTTGCATCATTATTTAATTATTGCTTGATTCTAACACAGTCTCTGTCTGTTCTTTCCATAATGTATATTTTGAGGTAGAAAATATAACAGAAGCAAAAGTGACTATGCATTAGACGTAAAATAGCTCATTGACAGCAACGGGGAAAAAGGTTTAAGAAAAACTACCATGGATGTTATAATACATTCTTCAAAAGTAACTTAATAAAATACTTTCATTAAAAGTGACCCAAAAGTCATGCCTTATATTTGTAAAAATTTTACAAGTTTTCAAAGTGCAACCCTGAAAAAGAATGACAAGAGTATTATTCGCAATTGACAGATCTGTAAGGTTTTTGAGCTCCAAAGATGTCATAAATTTACCTCAAGTGATGAATGTTAAAAACATTTCTGGAAAAGTAAGGCAGGACAAAGAAAATGCTCCATAACAAAACAGCTAGTTGCATAGGGAACTGTAATAACTACTATTGTTCAAGATCCACAAGCAGCCCTTGGGAACTACCAGGCGTGTTTGTGTTCATGTCTGAGAAACAGGACCATGTCATTACCTCCTTTAGTAACTATACCATTCCCATGACTCAAGTGACTCTGCAGCCTTCATTCTATTTCCCTAAACACAGTTTCTTCTTCTACTGACTCTGAGTCTACTGCCAGTACTATCCTCCCTATCTCTTTGCTTCTTTACCTTATTCATCGTGCTTATTCCTGGCTTCCACTACTTCACTGATTCCACTTACAAATATTTATCAAGTACTACGGAAAAAATGGTGAGCCAAAATAAGTGTTGTCTTTGCTCCCATGAGTATATAGCTTTGACAGGGCAGTAGATATTTAATCAAGTAGCCACATAAATCAGTGTAGCATTTATGGTGGGCTGGGGTATATAGCTCAGTGCTAGAGTACTTAATTAGCATGCCCAAGGCCCTAGGTTCAATTCCCAACAGCCATAAAATAAAATAAATGGAGCATTTAACATTAAGATAAATTTTATAGGGAAGAAAAACTGAACTAAGTTGAATATAGTTTTTGTAGTCACTTGCCAGAGTCTCTGTTGACCACAGAGTGACTCATTGAAATAATCTAGATGCAGTAAATCAGCTCCAAACCTGGAATGGTGTGACAGATCCATAGTCTTTGAATCCCACCTCTGCCACTACTAACTTTATAACTGGTCAAATTATTTAACCTCTCTTGAGTCTCATACCTGTTACATCCATGGATAGAAATACCCTTTTCTTAGGCAGGGTTCCCTTAGAAGAAGGCCTTGAGCCTAGAATTGGATTGTAATTTGTTTATTGGGAAATGATCCATAGAAATGCTATTGCAAAGAGGGTAAGTAAGACAGTAAGGGAAGAAAGCCAATCAGAGTACAGGGTCATTCCTACGAGGAAGCTACAGAACAGGGGTCTCCAACCTGTTCCAGGGGTCTCCAACACTGTTAGGAACTGGGCTGCACAACAGGACGTGATCAGGCAGCAAGTAATTGAAGCTTCATCTGTATTCAAGCCAATTCCCAGCTCCCGCATTACTGCCTGAGGTCTGCCTCTGGTCAGATCATCAGCAGGTTAGATTCTCATAGGAACATAAATCCTACTGTGAACTGTGCGTGTGAGGGGTGTCAGTTGTGTTTAATGCCTCATCATCTGAGGTGGAGCTAAGGCAGTGATGCTAGCACCATGGAGCAGCTGCAGATACACAGACGTTTGACTGCACAATGAATATAATGTGCTTGAATCATTCTGAATTCATTCTGCCCACCCCAGTCTGTGGAAAAATTGTCTTCCACAAAACAAGTCCTTGGTCCCCAAAAGGTTGGGCACTGTTGCTATAGAAGACT